TTAAGTGATAAACATCTCATATTACAGAATGGAACTCTTTCCTTTAAATCTCAGATGTACCTTTCCACATCACCTGCTGCAAACGTTTGATTCCTGGCAAGCCATTTCTGGTGGTTTAAAACCTCATACATACTTCAGAGGGATGCCAAAGCAAAAGTCAGGGTAGGACTTAGTGTACTGTAACTTTGACTGGGTTTGAGTCGGAAAGCTATTTCCAAACCCGCCTTGGTCATAAGCCTTTGCGTGGGGTTTCCTGCAACTCCTAACTGTTCATTTCCATTTTATCTCACACACACCTGGTGATGCTTGCATGACAAGCTAATATAAGTCTTATTCCACTGCCTCCATAAATCCCATGTCTCCAATTAACTTGGATTCTGATGGGCTATATACATTCTACAACTGCACATTCTAAACGCAAGCACCTTGTCTGGCACAGTAAGCGTGCTTCCACGTATGATGTATTGCCTGCAGTGTGTACTATACGCTCAGCAAATACATTGCGTAGTCTAAGCCCCGACAATGCATATCAGCCATTGTTAAAGCCTCTCCTCAGAGACTGGCTCATGTTGCTAATCTTCTCATGTAGCACTTGCCCAGGCCAATCAATACCTCTGTTGTGTTGAAGGACGATCTGAGTTTTCTCCGTATTAACTTGGAATTTGAAAATGTTTGGTATACAACGTTCGTCCACTGGCTTGTTTATTAACTGCTTTCAGATTGAGGTTGTTGCCATCATCAGAAATGTAAAGAGAAAGAGTGCCTGCTGGGAAAATGACAGTGAAGAGATCATCGTCTCATCTCTCCCGGTCAGGCCTGCTGTGACAGAAGTTCATCGCAGTTAGACTTTGATGAGTAGCGAACAGCGATCCGCAGCTGCCATACCTCTGTCAACTCGCTCTCCCGAGCTCGAGATGGAGAAAGAGAGGAAGACAACCAACTTTAACAAGATTCAAACCTGTCAATCAAGACAAGAAAGCAACAAGGGGAGGAAAGGTGGGAGAAGAGTGAGAGCAATTCAGTACCAGTGGGACAAACAAAAAACAAAAGATGTGAGGGCCGAGAAGGAGAGGAGGAGAGAAGAATACAGAGAGAATCCTGTAGAGACCACTTGAAAGGAAGGAATGTTTTGTTTTTTGCATGCAGCCAGTTCAGTTGTGGGTTATCCTCCCACTGGGGAGAGTAATTGCTTGTTGATCTAATGTTCTATCCCCTCCTGTCCCCGAAAACCAACACATTTGATGAGTCTGTGTGCTTTTTCCCTGCAGGACAGGAACTTCTGGCCTCCTCCAATCTAAATATTCACAAATCAGGTGAAAGGACTTTGGGCTCAGTTCCAAATTCGATGAAGCATAAAGCTACTCACATCCAACGCTGCCCGCCCTCAGAACGATACCTCTGAGGGTTTGCTAACATTGTTCACATCACTCTTTTTCTCTCTCTATGTCTTTGCCCATTTTTGTTTCTTCGTTCCTCTTGCGCTGTGAGGCAGATCAGTGAGCAGCTAATTAATGAGTTTAATGCTAGGATTCACGCACATATTGTCTGTCAATTAGAGAAAGAGCTTCAGCTCCAAGGTACGAGTTATAATCTAGACGGATATTCATCCTGTGCTGGGTATTTTTATACGTGAGTGTGTGTGTGTGTGTGTGTGTGTGTGTGTGTGTGTGTGTGTACCGCTGCCTGTTTGTTTTAGCCTGGCTGTCACTCATCTCCCCTCCTGTAATGCTGATCTTGCAGCATCTTCAGTTGTCCAAGGAGAGGCATTAATTTATCTCGGGTTCTGTAGAACATATGCTAGTCAAGTGGCGGAAAATGTGGGTGCACCATTTCATTTAATGGGGTCAGCGGTGGTTACACGAGTTGCTGTGTAAATCAGTTCCGTAAATGTATTCTGGAGGTGAGGATAGTGTTGATGCCGATACGGTAGTGTCTTTTAGGACGTGTGTTTATTTGAGTGAGTGCGTACACAAGATACTGTAAGAGAGAGTGTGTGTGTGTGTGTGTGTGTGTGTGTGTGTGTGTGTGTGTGTGTGTGTGTGTGTGTGTTTGCATTTTTCTGCTCACAAGTTTGCCTTAAGGCATTTTTGCAGCACTGCTATCTCAGACGGCTGATTCAGCAAAGCCCTCCCTGCTTTCCTTTTCGCTTTTGCCCATTTATGAGCGTCCAGGCTAGCTACTGTCTGTGTGTAAACACACAACCCGAGGGCAGAACCCGAATGCACATATTCTGCTCACACCCCATTAAACACACACTGAACAACTTATTGTGATCCCTTTTCATAAGAGTCAGGGCAATAGATTTGAAGCTCACTTGTGTGTGTGTGTGTGTGTGTTTGTGTGTGCGTGTGTGTGTGTGAGCGAGAGATGGCCATGTGCATGCGCGTGGTTCTTCGCTCACCCTGCTGTATGAATTTTACATGGCAAAGATGATGACACATAAGTTCTCTCCCACTCTCCTGCGGAAAATTAATTTTTGATCTGTGTTTTATCGCCTTGTAATCGCTGATATCTCCGGAAGTTATTGCTTTATAAAATGGCTCTGCAGCTGGTTTGCGCTTCCCCATATGGCCAGGGAGAGTTTTAAGAGTCTCAATGTTCTTGTATTAGATGGAACTCGATCTTCTCGCAAATCTGTGTATTTCACATCATGACAGGTCACAAACATCCTCTCCCACGCACTAAAATAGTTGCTTACTATTACCTTTATACTCTCTTGTAAACCCTGTATAACCTTATATTCCTCCTTACATCCACAGCATAGCTATATGTTTTCCACAGGGGGATGTCCTTGTGTACTGCAGCTGTGAAATGCCTTACAGCTCCTCCTCCTGTTTTATAAGGTGCTTGTGGTTGTTGTGGTGCCGTCCTGTATGTGTGTTTGGATGCGAGTTGGTCTGGCTGTGTGTGGACAGTGTTGTGTGACTAGACATGAGGTCAGTCAGTTAGCCTCTGGTGTGTCTGTTAGGCTGCCACCAAAGGAGATGGGAGGGCAGCCGCTGTTGTGGGCAGCAGCTTCAGTTTTGTGTGTGTGTGTGTGTGTGTGTGTGTATGTGTGTGTGTGTGTGTGTGTGCATGATGCCCCCTCTTTCTCCTTTACCAGTTATCTTTCTTGCTTTGTCTTTGTCAATCCTTCACTACCAGCCCATCAGAGATGGCCGGCTGAATGGTATGGATGGAAGACCCATTTTACCACGTAATAAAAGGAGACTCCGGCTTCCGAACCCAGAGCAACCTCAGTGCATTTTTTTAATGAAACATAAAATGTTTAAATTAAATCTTAAAAGCCTGTACTGTTCCACATTCTCCACTGTTTGATCCGGCAGGGAGTGGTTATGGGACCAACTCCATGGTCATTGTTCTAATTAACTCTCCCTCTAACATGCTCTTCAGAACTCTTGAAATAGACTCTTAATCAGATACAATAGAACCATTTGTGAAAAGCAAATTCAGTTCTGCTTTCAGCGATTTCTTGTGCTTTGAATATCTGAAACACGTAACCAATGGCTCATTATTTTGTTTACCTGATAAAAATCTTTTGTTCCAATAATATATCTTACATTATTGTCTTCACACAACTATGAGTATACCCTACATTCTGTTTCTCAGTGGCAGTCAAGCCTTTACATTCTTTTACTCAGGCAAACCGACGCAGCTGGAGAAACTGTAAGATGCTTGTCCCATTAAATTTATAACCGCTCCCCTCCGGAGTGCAGCAGCACCTCGGCTTCGTCCCCCATCAGTAAGCCTGCTAAAATATTAGACATGTATCATGGTTATTATAGCCAGTAAATCCTTCCACACAGTGCAGAAACCCTTCAGCTTTGTATTCTTTTGGGATATGAGGGTGAATGGATTAGGTTATTGCCTAGACTGGCCCAGTGATATCAGCCACAATAATCTTTGTCCTCCACCACAGCCTTTAGAATTCAGGGCTCCAACACTTTAAGCTAACCTCCACCAATTTACGACTTTGCCTCATGTGTTAAAAATTTGAACAAGAAAATACTACTGAGCTACAGCTGATTGCCAGCTGACCACTGACACGCATGTGTGTTCTGTGCCTCCCAAATATCAACAGTATATTCAAAATCTTTAAAGTAATGGAATTCAAAACAAAACAAACTTGCCAATCATTTTCATGCCACTATCAATCTGATAAAACAGTTGTGTTAAATGATCACAATACAAATTGGAATGTTGCATCTGGGTACTTTAAAGTTTTTTTGCGTGTTCATTTATTTACTTTCCACTGGTGTTGTCAGTGGTGTTTTGCTCGTGGTGATGAGAAGAGAAACAGTGGAGATGAAAAATGAGACAGAGCAGGTGAAATCACTGCTTTACGAGGCTGTACAGCCTCCCTCACCAACTGCCATCAGCCTTTCATTTAAGAAGTTGAAATGGCTGAATATGTTACGACGACCACAACAATGCAAAAACTACCAATGATTTGCCACAGATGGCCAACTTTCTACTCAGGGCTGCTAGAGTAAGACAGACTGATTGTATCTACCAATTATGTACATAAGGATCATTTTCACGATTGTAGACTCGGTATTAAATAAATTGTGCGACATTTTGGAAAATATTTGCCAGATGAGAAGACCCCGCTCATGTCTTGCCAAATATTAAGCTATACAGCCAGCAGTCGGTTAGCTTATTTTAGCTTAGCATTAAGAATGGGAACAGGGAGAAACAGCTAGTTTACCTCTGTCCAAAGGGAACAAACTCCATCTAAAGCTCACTAACGAACATGTTATAATTCATTTGTTCAATCCACATAAGAACCAAACTGTAAAAATGAAAATGTGTGGTGTTATGGGGGTTATGTTTCCAGTCAGTTTCGACTTGGACTCTTTTCTGTCTCAGTCTGTTTTCATCTCTGCTCACCATTCTAGCTGATGTACCAGACCCAGATGCCTGGCTTGTGCGTACTCGTCTCGTGGATTATTTATTTATCTTTTTATCTATTTTCTAACTTTGTTTGTCTGTTCCCACAGCATGCCCCCCGGGTACCTTCAAGTCAACCCAGGGTCCAGGTCTGTGTCTACAGTGCCCTCCTAACAGCCGCTCCACAGCTGAGGCCGCGACCATCTGTGTGTGCCGCAACGGTTACTACCGCGGCGACGCTGATCAGCCGGATGAACCCTGCACCAGTGAGTTTATCGTACATGACATTACCGACACACTCCAACACCGTCGCACACTTACATTCTTGTCAGACAAGCACCTGTAATAGGCATCCATGTATCCATTTTAGCATACATTTATATGCATCAATATTGAGTAGACTGGTCATGCATATACAAGCCGCTATATTTTCATAAAACCAGCACATGTAGTAGCATTTAAATGAGCATGTATCTAGAGCCCTAGTCTTCTCAGACTGCTCATAATAATCATTTTAGGGTTTCCATTATTGATGTCTCCATCACTGTGCCATTGAGCTTCCTCTCTGTTTCCTCTCAGTTAGCTTACTCTCTCTGTCTCCTTTTCTTGCTGTTGTTCTTTCTTTCTGTCTGCTATCATCCCCTGAAGTCCTAATTACTCAGGCAGATGCTGCGAAGCTTCGACACTGTCCTGCCGCTACCCGCTGGAGATCCAATAAGGCCTCTCAGAGCATCATATTTATCTTAATATGATGTAAAAGCAATATGCTAAGCTTTCCTGTCGTTCCCTGCTGACACACAGTTACACAGAAGGAGAGCACTGTTAGACCCCCCAAAAAGTTTGTTTACCTCTCTTTCTTTGCTGCCACTGGGGAGTGTCTTAATGGTTTATTCACCTCACAACAACAGACCTGGAAGCTTTATTGGTGTGGTTATGTATTCATTTAGTCCTGATTTATTCACATAGACCTGGCTAATTGGCCTCCGGAATGGGCTCAGGACCACACTCCTTTCGTAATCGTTCAGCAGCTGTAGCCTTCACAGCTAAAACGTGTATTGAATGCACCTCTTTTGCCATGTTTCCTTTTTACAACTATGAATAAGTGCCTTAAAGCTGCAGTGGAACCCAAATATCGCATGGCTGTCTGTCTGACTGTTTGAACGCTTCCCAAGTGTAGCCATCCACACCTTTAGGCTTTGGATGTTCTCAACGGATGACACCCCACTTTCACCTTGAGTTTTCTCCACCCTCCCATGGTATACTACATACCTCTCTGGTGAATTAGTGAGCGCTCCATCAACTATAGCATCTGCCTCTACCTTGAGGCCTTGAATTTTCCCTAAGCAATCTCCACAACCATTCCCCGTCGGAGCTTCTTGAACAGATCCCTCCGGTCTGTGTTCACTTTCCGAATGCAGGCTGCGTTACTTTTTTTCTCGTCTTTCAATCAAGGCGATTCTTTCTTATCTCATCCTCTGTCTACTCTGTTCTTTTTTTTTTCCCCTCTACTTCACACTTTTCCTCTCATGATCAGTACAACTTCACTCCTCTCAATATCTTAACATTAGGCTGTTTTTTTAATACACATCCTAGGTGCCCAGTAAAATAATTGTTAATAGGTTTAAAAAATGAAATATTGCCCGATGTTCCAATCACAGTTACACAGTGGACTACGAATAAAACATTCATTACAAAAGAAAAAAATACAGTAGTTTAAAAACTACTGAGAATTTTTTTTCCAACCAACCCTTTTAACGTTAAAATCTTAAACCAACCTCGGTTCCTCCTCAATTGGTGTTGAATTATTTTGCAACAGCACATTCAAAGCCTTCTCTGAAGGTTGAATCATACAGTAGCAGCTGAGCTCGGCGCTCGGGGTGCCCTAGATCTCAGCATGGGGGTGCAGTGAGATCATCCTAGTAAGAATCTCTTTAATACTGCTGCTCCTGATAAGAGCACTGCTTGAGTAGCATAAATCAGGCCAATCTGCAGCAGCAGACGCTGAAGCTTTAGCGCTTCTTGCCGCCATCAGAGGCGCGGGTCCTTGTGCTCCAGATCAGTCTGATTAGCTTGCTGATGGATTGTCCGACGCCTGGCTCTGTCAGCAGGGGCTTCACGTAACCCCCCCCCCCCCCCCC